GGGAATCAACTGACCCCAGAGCTTTAGTCGTTTCTTTCCAGTATCTTTACATGCCTTTTACATGTTTTTCTAAATATTCGGATCATCTAGTTTTGCGAATGTGTTGTTTTGTGAGGGCTAAACCCCGAGCTTCCTCTTCTCTGCCTCAACTGGTTGCACCAGTTTAACTGGTATCTCTGACTAACGTTAACGTATCAGTACACAGAGCTCTTTGTTCTCATCTTGTTACGTATTCAAACATGGCTCCAAACCAGAAGTTTTTCAACTGACTACCAATCACTAGTCTATAGAACTAACTGATCAATAGGATTAACATGTCCAGAACTATATGAGTGAGCCTGACACTGTGTCAAGGTTAAACAATACAGTAAATCAATGATTACAGTGAACTCTTAATCAGTGAGAGGCTGGATACCTTTAGTGTTCAAGAGAACACTTCCCATGCAGTTCACAGGGCGGGGGCCTGACCAGCCATCTGTTTCAAAGTGTATTTGCACCAAAAAAGCTATTTATGTGTGTTTACTGCATTAGAGGGTTTTTGTTAGCCTGTCCTAGCCATTGACTGTTCACATATTTTCAAGATGGTCTGTCTGGTTTCCATTGAGCTGATACAACTGCATTTTCCAAAGAAACCCAACCCGTCCTTAGTTGAAGCCTTGGATCAGTTCAGGGAAACTAGTTACCATTTCAAACACTAAAGGTAGCAATATACTATATAAGACTTGTAGTTTATAGTTGTAGATCTACAACTTGTGTTTTTTCATTTTACATTGGAATCTTCTAATGTCAATCACTTTCTGTAACATTTAGAGTGAAAGTGAAAGGTCAATGCTTGAAAACGGTTTCAATTTCTATAAAATCCTATGTTTCGACATCACTTAACACGAGCAAATCTCCTTAAAAACCTGAAACCTTGCTTTTCAAGACTTACTTTGAAAAGACTTCAAAGATTTTAATATCGCTATCATCTTAAACATGTATTTCTTTCGCATGTTTGTCCTAATTGAAGCACATTGACTGTTGGTTTTAGTGTTTTTTTCCAGTTGAAATACCTCAGAGAGGTTTGCAATGCTAATTAAGTTCACCAAAGTGCTTTTCAGAAGCTGGATTAAACATTATTTGCATTGTTTATCTTAAATTCTATCATAGAGCTCCCTCTGCTGCCTCGTTTTGTTATTACCATTAAATATTTAAAACAATAAGTTGTTTTTTTGGTCATCATCTTGAGTAGAAATGTGAGAGAATGAAGAAAAAAGGTTATCACCAAAATATTATTAGGAACAATGATAAATTATAATACAAATAAATAAAGCAGCGCAGAGGTAGCACTGTTGCCTTCCAGTTAGAAGGTTGTCGGTTCGAGGCTCGCCAGTGGCTTTCCTGGAAAGAATTTGTATGTTCTCCCCATGCTTGTGTGGGTTTCCTCCAGGTTCCCCATAATCCTAAAAGTTTGTGTTGTGAGTGTTGCCTTGCAATGGACTGGTGACCTGTCCAGGGTGTACCCCTGCCTCTCGCCCGAAATGCACTGGAGAGATCTGGCACCGACAGAACCCCATGACTCCGAAAGGGATTGAGCAAGTTGGAAAATGAATGAAAAAATAAAACAAGAATGGGTGGGATGGGGAGTCTGCAGAGAAAGCAAATCTACAAACTGGATCAGAGTTTAAAACAACCAATGGGCAAAGAACTAAAGATTGGGTTTTCTTGTCAACAGAAGAAAATGGAACACAGATGCAGCTTGTTGTTTACTATATAAAGATATTTAGATGATTCTAGAACAATCTTAAAGGAAACTGGAATAATAACGTATTCTCCTTGTTATGGTAAAAATATACCTTCTCAATTGATAATAAACACTGGAGACCGTTTGAGAGAGAACACAGCAAATGCGGCTTTTGATTACAAAGATTTAACAGTCTCAACGTACCGGTATTTCCTACATACGTGACTCTAACGTGGAAGAAGAACGTGGTTTAGCGCATATTCCTAACGACCTATTAAAAGTATAAACGAGCGCCGGAAGAGAAAAGAAGAAAAGAAAAAGAATATATAGAGTTAGAAAAGAAGAGAAAGAAAGAAAGAAAGAGAAAGAAAAAGAGAGAATGAGACTGACCCAAGAGACTTGGCCAGAGAGAGATCAGCACAAGAGAATGGGTCCAGAGAGAAAAGGGACCCTTTCTCCGTTCCCACCTCAACTTAATCCTTAAGGGTGGGACTAAAGTATGACGTGTGCTCTTAAAAGGTTCTCAAATTACATTTCTCAATATGACCACTAGATGGAGGTATTACATAGGAAAATTCCCATCACATCCTGTAAGCTCAGAGGTTAATAAAGCGATGTGTTTGAGCATTTTTGTTTCACAGGTGTCACAATTGAGACAGACACACACGCACAACAAATATCACCTCAGTATCAAAATCACCTTAGAATCACCTCACATCTTATCGCCTGAGAATCATGACTCAGTTGAATCTGAATCGCTGTATTGATGATTCCGTTCAAAATCATCCCAGAGATTCAATTCCTGTAGAATCCCCCCACACAGCGAAAAAGAAAATGGACACATGGGCTATAGATAAAAACTTTATTTCACTGCAAACGCAAACTCACACACACTTTGCAGGAATTCTGATTACAAACATAAAGCTAAAAATAGGATTAATATCGATGGGTGAATCTGAATCCCAGTATCATCATACCAGAAGTCACTCCGTGGCTTGTCCTTCTGAAGATCAGAAGACTTCCTGTTTGATACATTATTATTATTTCTCACTTTTAACACATGTAAAAAAATGTTTTGAAAAAAAAAAAATGTTTTAAGAATGAAGTTTGATGCTTACTTGGCAACATAACACAATCAAACTCCAGATATCACCTTAATCTCTGAGGGGCCATTTCACTTCCATAACCAATTACTCTCACTCTGGGTTATACAGAATCCTGGATTGCACATCAGTTACCCGATAACTGAGGGGTGCAAAAGCAGGGATAGCATAAATGCAGCATGAACGTTCCAGCATCTGAAAACAAGCTCTAAACTTGTGTACCAATTACAAGAGATTTACATCTTTGAAAGATGCTTATATCCAAAGTGACTAACAAGACAAAGAATGAATACAATTTGATCCCCGAGTTTCAAACCCCAAGACCTTGGCAATGCCAGCTCCACTGACTGACCACAAAAAACTAAACATTTGCAACAGCACACAAACAGTGAGAATTTTCTTCACTACAAAGAGGTCAGAGACCATCCTAGTGAATCTTCTACCTCTGAACATTAGAAAGCTTGTGCAAATTGCAAAAATGTAAAGGATCTTCTGAAACACACCAGACCCGGAGCATCAAAATCACCTGAGAATCACATCACATCTCATCACCTAAGAATCATGACTCAATTGAATCTGAATCGCTGTACTGATGATTGCGTTCAAAAATCATCACAGAGAGTCAATTCCTGTAGAAACACAAAACAGGTCACATGATTCAGATGTGATCACTTTACAGTAAAACAGCTGCATTTGTTGGGGAAAAGTGCCCAATATTCTGCTGATTACATGCTTAATTTATAAATAATTGGACTCTACTGTGATTCCAACAACATACCACAACTTGGAACAAAATTAGATTTTCTAACATCTAAATGTTCCTAATTTGTACACAAAACAAAGTCTAAAAGTGTACAAAAGCCTTGGCACTTTTTAGTTGTATAGAGCAAGATTTAATGGCAGCATTAAAGTGATGAAGAAATGTACGGACATTATGGTTGTATACAGGCAAAGATGTACAAATAAATGTTATTACAATTTTTATCAACCATTTTTAATTATTTCTGAATCGAATGGGCTTCTTTGAGTAAATCCAGAAGCGCTGTACAGACTCAGAAGAACAGAAGTCACTCATCTAAATAAACTCAGAAATACTCAATCAAGTGAATCCTTCACCTGGTCTCAGGGTTTGGCGCTGTAGTACTCTTCCGGTGACACCATCTTAACTCCACCGAAGTAATCCAGGACCCAGACCTGTGAGATGTTGAACCTGGCAAAAAACCAGCTGTGATCCACGGGCCAGTCCACCATCTCTGGGTGCCTGGAGAACAAAGCCGCTTTTGCAACACCCACCTCCGCCTCCGACACCTGACGAGCATGAGCACACATCTGTTCAACCACTTGAGGCAGACACATTGAATCAGTAAACTGCTGGAGTCGCATGGGCTTAATCAATGACCGTAGGCCTGCCGAAGTTATATGTTATATTCAGTGCCGATGACCAAAGACGAAACAGCATGACATTTATTCGAAACAGTTATTCACCTGCATGACAGATCCAGAAAGGATGACATGAGCACACAGGGGACTCTGAGGATCGAATCCGTGCTTTTTGCAGTACCCGGTCTGAGCCAGAGACACTGAGAGTGAGGCCTGCGGGTTTACCTGAGTCAGAACGAAATGAAAGACATGGGATGTTAGAAGAATCATGAGACAAAACACTCACTATCTCACTATCTACAGTCCCCTGTCTCAAGCCTTGCGTCAGGAAATGTGGGTGGCTAACTGGCTATAAGTGGGTCTGTAACTACTGATCAGCTTTTCAAATGGACATTCCATTTACACTCTTTCTCAAGGGTTTTGAGTTTGTTTGGACAGCGAAGATACAGAATACAGATACATTTCATGTAAAGATCTTGTGACTTCTGCAGAAGAACAACAGAGCAAACAATGCTGTCTGCACCAAATGCAACCTTTGAGAAATTCTAGAGTCCAAAAAACAACACATTAAAGCAGTTGAGACGTAATGATACAATCCTATATTTACAAATTCCTAAATCTTCAGCAGAAATAGATGGTTTTAGCATAGCAATTTGACATATGTAAAAAAAAGCGTTTTATCTGCTTGTTTTGCCAGAGCTCAGACACAATCACCCCCAAGCCTCGATCACACTACGTGAATAAATACCATTGGCTTGAATGGCAACCCAACCGAGAATAAGAAAGAAGAATCCGCCTTTCCTGTGGCTCAGTTGGTAGAGAATTGCGCTAACAACGCAAAGGTTGTGGGTTCATATCCCAGGGAAGGCAAGAACTGACAGAAAAAATATGTTCATTCAAATGAAAGTCGCTTTGGATAAAAGCGTCTGCCAAATGTAAATGTAGAAGAAATAAATGTAAATGTAGAAAAAATTTCTGCCTACGCCAAGTGATTCTGGATTCTTCTCCGACAGGAAGTTCAAACTGGTAGGAACTGCAATATTGCATCAATTTAGAGAGGTCAGATGCGTAAACTTTTTGATGACTCATTATGAAGCAAATGTGAATTTTTACCATGTCAGTATAACTATAAAGTAGATTAGAGACGAGCACACGGCTAGAATTCAGGTTAGGTCTATCGTTAATTCGATCAGGTTAATTATATATATTTTTTAATGATGGTGTTTAGTGGTTGGGCTCATAACAGATGCATACGAATTACGCATTGTTTAGGAATAGTATGATCATGCGGTCAGGCATGAAACAGTAGAAACGAGCTACTTGAGAATCACAGTCTATTATTCAGTGGGACAAAAACAATAAGGTTTTTTTCTGGTTCTAACAAAAGCATGACAATACATGACAACTTCCTTCATCTATCTCTAAAAAATATTACATTTTAAAGAGAGAAGTCTCAGTACTGTGAATCTTCTTCTAACCTACCTGCAGATAAAAAGGAATATATTAAGTATGAGCAATTTTTGTCAAATTGTAGATAATAAAGTTGGCAGTAGGTTTCATATCTAAAGGAATTGTCATGCTTCGATTCCTTTGTCAACAAAACATATTAAAGAGCATAGGTAGATTTTGAAAATTAGTCTTCATTAACAGACTCAACAAGGAGATTGAGAAGGGAGAGATGGTCACATGTGGCTCAAGTCAGAGTGTGTGAGAGCTGATAACCTCTTGCTGAGTCACTCTGATACACACCCACTTAAACTTCACAGTGGTAGAGAACATCTAACCCCACGATCACTTTAGATATGCGTTTATTATTTAAATAAACAGTACTTTTGATGTTTTGCAAGTCATAATAAAATTAAGACATTTTACTCTACAGCTCAGCCTATATGCTGTAGTGTAGAATGAAAGACTGTAAATTAATATCAAGTAATAGAACCATACAATAAAATGATTTAGCAACATTTTTCCACATAATTAAAAAGCAGAACAGTAAAACAGAAACGTAAAGAATATCCCCAAACATCTAACGTCAAGCCATTTTCACTGCTGTTGTCAAACTCCTAGCATTGTGGGGTTGAGTTTGGTGAACTCACCTGCAGGTCCTGCACAGAGATTTCCATATGAGTCAAGTACAGGTACGGGGTTCCGGATCCTGTTCCGTTTCCGTCACTGATCGAGAAGACGTTGGAGAAGGGCTGCCCGCGTACTGGCTCGTGGGTCGAGACTGTGGCCATCGCGGCCCAATCGCACCGATTCACCACGAACCGGGCCATGCGTGCCGCCTCCTCGTGAGGAGGAATCGAGTACGACACGGCGGCGAACGCGAAGCACGCTGAAACAAGCACCGCGAGAAACATCATCGACGAGCAATGAAGACCATTGCCGTGCGGACGATAGAATAACAAACCAGTCACGTGACCCCACACAACTAGTGGTCATGTGACACCTGAACCGTGACGTGGTCACTCCTGGGGTCAAAAAGGAAGCGATATGGGATTATTGTGGTTAATATTATAAGGAAAGTAATTTCCATTTTCTTATTCATTTCATATTCATTTATTATTGAGCATAGAAACTCAATAAATCCCATTTTGGTCATTTGAAGTGATTAGAATGAAGTATGAATCATTCATAAAAAAAAAACACTAAAGCTCTTAAAATTGTAATTTTATTTTATTTTCGAAAAAGCTAACTTAGAAAGAGAGAGAGCTGTGCCTGGCTCTTACTGTGTTTCTTTTTGTTTTACTCGTTTGCTCGCTCTCCCTACCTTTCTCTCAAACCGATGTAATGATTACAACTCTTTGACAAATACTTCAATAGTCTGGGTGCATTGATGACCGCAGGTAATTGATCCCAGCGTGTGATTGGTCACAGGCTCAACATGCACAGGTGATGACAATCAATCTCAGAATAAAAAAAAAAGCTCTCTGCACTCAGCATTGTTGTCTTCTGTTTGTAGATGTGTTTAAGGCAGCGTCAAATTATAGACTTCTAAAGAAGACTGAAGTTTAGCTGGTTCAAGGAATAAAAAGGTAATGACTTCTTGGCATTAATGATGTTATTAAAGTGCATTGGGTAAGTCTTTTTTTGAGGGGGGATTTGTGTGCTTTTTAAATGAGGTTTATGGAATAATTATGTTGGATCTGTTTTCAGATCACTGTGAAAGACTTCTGTTTTTAAGCTTCAATTAATTTGTATGGTTGTCCATAGTTGGTAAAATTAGGCTTTTTACTAAATGGTTTATTTAACCATGACGAATCAGGCATTGATCTGTATGAAGGGTTTAGTTAAGAGTGACCAAACTCATACCACCAATGGCACAGTCGTTAGGTTGACATTAGTTGAGTACTGGCTACTTGCATGTGTTGGTGAGATGTGAGTAAAGTATAATCGCTGCAAAGGATCTAATAATGATCCTTTAATAGCTGTTTTCCTCAAGCATTACTTCATTTAAAAACTTTTAATCAATCATAGATTCATTTCTACTTGTCTGTCCCCCAATAGTCACAATTTCCAATGAGCACTGGCCCTCAACATTACCAACACTAATGCTTTTGCTCATCTCTGAGCAAGTGAGTAAAAAATTCCAATTTTGTCAAATCTATGTCTAGCCAGAGCTAAATTAAGTTTGCTCAGCAAGTATCATTTCTTTGTTTTGTAATCTTTTATGTCTTAAGTGGTTCAGGAAATGTCATTTTACATGCACTGTCTCTGACACTGCTCTTAGTGGCAGTGCATCAGCTCTGAGTTAGAGACTAATCACTTGACTTAATGAGCAGAATCTCTAATTAAAACCACATCCTCCCTCTGTTCAGAAAATCTGCTGTGGACAGCCAAGATTTTGAATATCTTAGTGTAGCTCCTTTGTTTACTCAGAGGCACTAATTGTATTTCTCTTTGCAGCACTTTATTGCATTATGTCTGGTCGTGGTAAGAAGGCTGCCCCCAGCAAAGCTGCGGCTAAGTTGACCAGTTCGGCTCGTGCTGGGCTTCAATTTCCAGTTGGCAGGATCGGCCGGATGCTACGGCGTGGCAATTATGCAGCAAGGATTGGCTCGGGTGCAGCAGTGTACCTGGCAGCTGTGTTGGAGTACTTGTGCGCAGAGGTGCTGGAACTGGCAGGAAATGCCTGCAGAGATAACCAGAAGAAGCGCATTGCACCACGGCATGTACAGCTTGCAGTACGCAACGATGAGGAGCTGAATGTGCTGCTGGCTGGGGTCACACTGGCAGAAGGTGGTGTGCTACCCAACATCCAGGCTGCCCTCCTTCCCAAGAAGACTGGCAAGAACCGGGAGTTTGAAGAAGCTGGAACTACGAGCCAATCACAAGACTTCTGAATCTTGTTTTTATTATTATTTAATTGCTTTTTTTTAAGACATAATAAAGCTGATTTTTAAAACCATTTCTTTGCTTGACCAATAGAGCTTTCATTCCTTAGAACACCACCACTATACATGAAAGTGAACATTTGGAAAAAAAACTAAGAATTCTTTTCTATTGGGGGGGGGGGTCTGTTAATTACAGCTTGCTTTTTGTTGATTGGTGGGAAGTGTTCTAGCATCTAATCACCTAAATGCAAACAATCATATGTAAAAAAAAATAATTAATTCAGAGACCACTTCTTTGAATATTGATCAACCGCATAAGGAAAAATCGCCTTGACTAATTTATTTTGTTTAAAAGCACTGGTCTGGTTGTAAAGGCCTTTACACATAGATCTGTGTTTTTGGAACAGAGTTTTGTGCGACAACGCTCCTTGATCACATACTATTGGCACCAACTGAACCTTACATGAGAGTTTTGTGTCTGCCATATCGGAGCACCACCAACGAAAGCTTTTGAGGACATGAGTAGGATGTAAAAGAGCCACTTGGACTGGTGTGTAGATGCCTTAAATTAAACCAGAAGAAGCATGCGCCGTTCCCTTCTTTGGAGGCATCAAGGAAATAGCCTCTGTCCAAGCTATGGGTCGCACTGTTGGTCTCCATCAATCGATGTGGCTTTCTTGAGCTCATACTGAGGGGGTAACTCAGTAACCCCTTTTTTGCATTCCAAAATTAAAATGAAGTGATTGTTTTCGAAAGTATAAATCATTAATAAAAAAAAACACTAAAGCTCTTAAATTTGTACCGAGTTCTCTCTGTGCCTAGCTTTTTTTTTCTTAGAAAAAGCTAATTTATACGGTGTTTCTTTGTTTTACTCGTTTGCTCGCTCTCCCTACCTTTCTCTCAAACCGATGTAATGATTACTCCTCTTTGACAAATACTTCAATAGTCTGGGTGCATTGATGACCGCAGGTAATTGATCCCAGCGTGTGATTGGTCACAGGCTCAACATGCACAGGTGATGACAATCAATCTCGGAGTAAAAAAAAAAAAAAAAGCTCTCTGCAGTCAGCATTGTTGTCTTCTGTTTGGGCAGCTAAAAATTATATAAATAAAAAAAAAATAATAAAAAAATTACATTTACATATACATTGAGAAGTTCTAAAAAAGATTGAAGTGCAGCTGTTAAAAGGAACATAGAGGTAATGACTTCTTGGCATTAATGATGTTACTATAGGGCATGGGATAAGTCTCTCTTCAGTCTTGTTTGGGTCTTTAATGGCTTTAATTGTATTTTTTTAAGGGAATTTGTGTGCTTTTTAAATGAGGTTTATGGGATAATTATGTTGGATCTGTATCAGATCACCGTGAAAGGCTTCTGTATTAGAGCATCAATTAATTTCTTCTGTATTTAAGCTTCTAAAAAGTGGCAGTGCATCAGCTCTGAGTTAGAGACTAATCACTTGACTTAATGAGCAGAATCTCTAATTAGAACCACGTCCTCTCTCTGTTAAGAAAATCTGCTGTGGAAAGCCAAGA